TCGAAGATTAGCTGGTGAAGAAAGGGATTTATTGGGTTTTGGCAACAAAGCTATCTGGACTGAGGCCCACTCGGTAGGGATGACCGGGAGAAGCAAAGCAATCACTGGCGATGGCAGCAAGAGCCTCACAGTTATGTGAAGCTTTATCCTTCCAACTGCTAAAGCTTGGCATGAAGATTGGGACGGCTTTCTCCCTTGAAATGTCCCTGAAAGCCTGCAGCCATCGCGGAGCCGAGAACATATCAGAAGAGACCGGCCGAAGGGGTGGCAGCACCCAGGGCTGCCGAGTGAACAACTTCTTGGCATAGCCAGCAAGCAATTGGCATTCTGCTCGAGTGCTAGGAAGCTCGCCTGATTGATTGCGCAGCCGGATACGCTGCACCGATGTTTTGTGGCAAAGGAGGTTAACGTACTTATAAAAACTACCCATCAACTTTCCACGCACTGCTTCTTCAGCGTCACCAAGCACAGTTAGGATCTGTGCTCGCTTGGTACGTCGCAGGTGCTGGTCCAGCCTCTTTTGGCTGCACGAAGCTTTATGGCCAACCTCCATGCTGTTAAGATTCCCTGCGCATCCCGCCAATGCAGACGACTCGAGCGTCGACGCAACTGCCAGAAGCCAACGATGTAGCCTTCGGAAGTTTCACGCTGACAGAGCCGTGGCCGAAGGAGGCGGCCCGACCGCGCAGGAGTTAAAGAAGAGTGCAGCTGTTGCAATCCTGGGGTTTCCCCGAAGCGCAGCGCCTGTTTGGCCTGCTCAATCACATGGCCCTTTATAGGACGGCTCAACTGCCACGGCCCCAGCTGTTCAGAATGCAAAGCTGATGCGACTTGAGGATCTGCATGAAGTGCTGTCGATCGGCCTTCGCCGAATCCGTGTTGGGGCTACCTGAAACGCGAAACCCTACAAGCTTGGAGAAGGGCTCCACGCTACAATGCATGTCGCCACCCACGACAACATACGATACGGCAGCGAGTGCATCAAAGCATCAAGCTCGCGCCAGAATGAGCACCTCTTGCTAAAGATGCTTTGCAGCTTGGTGGCATCTCCAAACCCCATGGCGTGTTGGTACGCACAAACAAGATCCATGTGTTGCTGATTGCAATAGCAGCGCATTTGCATTAGCCTGCCCGGCAGCAATTCTTTCCAGATGATAGTGTCCGGTCTCGCCAGCGTGGCCCGTACGCCGACCAGAACACCTGCTGCGTTTGCCTTCAGCGACGCGGAGTGGCAAAAATGCCAATCCTCACTGGACCACTCCATGGACCGGGACCAGTGCGTTTCTTGCAGCATGATGACCGAGATATCGCTGTGTTTGCGTAGCCAGCATAGAAGCTCGGAGTAGAGTGTTGTGGTGAATCCATCGCAATTCCAAGAAAAGACCTTGACTCGAGGCCCAGTAACCGCGGGTGTCACAGCAGCAGGTGCCTTCGGGAACACTGACACGTTCGCATACAATGTCTTTCCCCTGTACAAAGAAGAACCTGAAGTGGCAGCCTTGTTGAGCGCTTTTTTCAAGGCGCGCTTGCACATGCGCTCATAGGAATGCGCGGGTATAAACTCCCCGTCCTTTAAGTCTTTGAGGTCTGCGGGCAGACCACTCCAGATGCGCTCGGGGACGCTGCGTCAACCCTCGTGCCCACGGCCTGACTCGACCTACCTTGGAGTAGAAGTGGTTGCCGTGCCCGGAATTGGGACCGGGAAGACTGAATCCCCCAATTGCCGTGAAGTGGTACTAGAATGCTGGGGATCTGTGGGGACATGACCGTTCGGCGGGGCTGGGACAGGCTTGATTGGCCCTGCAGAAGGAACTGGAAAATGCTGCCGGATGGAGCCATGAGCCATGTGTGATGAAGATTGCGTTTGCACAAAGTACCTATTGGTCTCCGGAAAGCAAATAGCGCAGGAAGCCCACGCTGAAGGAAATCAGATCGCTCCAGAACGAAAGCAGCTTCAGCAATCAGTTGCTTTTCCGAAATATCCGACCACAAGGCATAAGCCAGAGATCTTGCAAATGACTGAGAACGTACGTGCAAAGAGAGCAGGGTGTCCTCCAAGATATCGATAGCTGCAGCTCTTAGCCGCTCGTGGCACTTCTCCTCAGAACGGGCGCTTCTGCGGCTGCTGCTGCTGCTGCTGCCTTGGCCTTGGCCTTGGCCCGTGTTGCCTCCCTTTGGCGCTGGCGGTGGTTCTTCTTCGATTGCGCACTCCTGCGCTTTCGGCACTTTCGGCCGCTGGCGGCAGGCGGCGGAGCATCCGGCTTTAAGGGTTCCTCTAAGAGCTCCTTTAGGGGACTAGGGGGGTTTGGGGGTTTAGCAGTTCCTTTAAGAGCTCCTTTAGAGGTTCCCAGAAGGGCATCTTCAAGCAGAGTTCCATCATCGTCATCATCATCATCATCATCATCACGAGCGTCATCGACGACAACATCATCCTTAACCACCATCAACCACTACCAATACCACGAAACACAAGAACAGCACCCGCAAAACAAAAAGAAAAACAAACACTGCGAACCAGCACATGTCCGTGGTTGCTCTTACGAGCGTGCAGAGCTTAGGGCTTAGATCCTTCGCCAGGTGTGTTAGAAATTGCAACCGCTGTCCCACTAAACCACTTAGCTGCTGCCCTCAACCCCGAGCCCTACTTGAAAGCCTAGTCACCAAACATCACCCAACCCTACTCTCCGAGCCTGACTTTTCTAAACCCTAAACCCTAAACCCGTCAAAATCAAACGATGCACAAACTCAGATCCCCCGAAAGCCTTGCAGCAGACTCTAGTGCGTTGTAGCATGGACTGAAGCTGATTATGCCTGTGATTCTTCATAGCTTCGCAGGCAACCAGGATGGTCTTGCTCGAACCGCCTGGCTTCGACCTTTATCTAACACCATCACCATCCGCAGCATTAGGATTGTCATCTTCGCTCTCGACCTCGTCCTCATCACCTTCATCCTCAAACCCTCCACTCTAAGCTCTAACCCTTAGACACCTGGGCTGAACATTCTGAGCACCAAACCCTAAACAGCTAAACCCGAAAAGCCCTACACAACCTGTCATGTAAGCCTTGAAGGGAACCCTATAATGTCGGGGCCTTCAATAAGTAGAATAGGGTTTTGGGGTATATTATACTGTAACTACAACAAGGACCCCCCAAAAATAGTTTTGGTCATTGTTAAGACCCCTATATTATACGGCCGCCCCTAAAGGGGTTACTATTAGCGTATAGAGGACCCGAAACCGCTGAACCCGGAAAGCCCTAAAAGGACCCCTATACCGGACAATGTGCGGAGCCGTAAAGGTGGTGGCCAACGGTCCAGGTCTGGCCATAGCGCTCCTGCACTCACACCCGAAGCAACGGCTTCTTTTGAGGAGGTTGGTGGAGTTTAGGGGTTTGGGGTTTCGGGATTTGTAGAAATTTAAAAGGAGGAAGGAATTTGAGAGAGTGTTCATGGCTCTTCGTGCCAGGATCCAGGGTCCTTCTTTGCCTGATTCCCAAGTCCAAAGGCCGTCAAAGCCCAAACCACAAATCCAAAACCCACAAGCACAATTGGGTAAACTACCTGAAGCTGCCGACCTGGAAGTGCCACAGGTAGGCTGGCTGCATGAAGCCATAGTAGACACCCATGCGCAACCTGAGCCCATGACGGTTCTTGGAATCTTCTGCCTCTCGTGCCTGCGGAAGTTTTTGGGTTGACGGTCTTCAGAATACAATCTGGAGGTCTGGAACTCGGGGAGGATACAAGAAGCTCGATCTGGTCCTGTGGTGGTGGTAGTAGTAGTAGTGGTAGTGGTAGTAGTAGTAGTAGTAGTAGTAGTAGTAGTAGTAGTAGGCGCCCCCCCCCCACCAACTACACTTGCTTAAAACGTATTTACAGCACTTTCGTCATGTACGATCATCATAAGAGGCCTCAAAATCCACTTGCCGAGTTTGCTAACTCGGCCTCTTGATTTTGGACTTGCTGCGGGGGGGGGGGGGGGGGGGGTGGGGGGGGGGGGGGGGG